GAACTTCACGAAGAAATTGACGAAAATTAGAACATGCTCTAATTCGTCAAGAACTTGATGAATAAATTGATGATGTTATTTGACAGCAGATTTGGTGCATTACACTTGTCCAATTTCTTGATGAAGCGACTTCATCAATTAATTGATCAAAAAATTGTCAATGTAAAATAGCCTTTTTGAACTGTGGAGAAGGTTACTGTCCATCTAACGGATTACACCAAATTAAATATTATTCGAAATTATTTAAATACAAATATTTACATCGAGATACTAAGCTTATTAATAACTGGAATTTTTTAATTTATTCTAGCTTACGCCGAAATATTACCTTATTATGTAGTGAAAACAGTGACCGGTATCCTCAGAACAAATTTGACGACTTTGGTTTTAACAACATATTATGTTTTAATTCATAATTATGGACTACAGTCCAATTTGTTTCATATAATCGGTTACATATAACTACTTTGCATCTTCAGTGTCCCTCAGGGCACAAACCTTGGGCCTTCATTATTTCTTCTCTTTATTAACGACATTTGTAAAGCAGTGAATTGTAACCCGCTGTTATTTACTAATGATATGGAAATCTTTATAGACAAAAACTTAATGTTACAGAAGTATTTAACCAATGTATAGGACTTGGTCTTCTAAAAACAAATTGCACCGTAATATATCCAAATGTTGTCTCTTGTACCAAAAAAAAAAACTTTACCTAATATACTTTTTGATTGTGGTTTATCCTTTCGAGAAGACAAGACATATTTGGAAATTGGAATGTGGTTCCATCATTTATCAGTGTTATAAAATTTCTACTGAAAATATTCAAAATAAGTGTTCAAAATTGTTATAGTTCAACAGGATCCTCTCATTCGATAATATGTGGACTTTATTTTTAATCTGTCCATTTTTTAGCAGTTTATTTTTCCTTTAACTATTTGCTTAAAATTCTAATGAAATATTTATCTGTGATTCTAGGCGCACATAATCTTTTACAAAATCTCTTAAACCTTGCGTCTTAAAAAGATAATTGATTTGCGTCAAATTTATTTTAGAGTTTTAGTTTCCAAACGCCTTGTTGGCAGCAGATAAACAACTTTAACGAGTGTTTCTGATATTAATGAAGCAATTTTGAAGCGCCCGTAATTTTGTTCGCTCTCCCTATCTAAATTTATAACTACAAACTATGCACCGCCACACTGTCCCTGTTTGGCTTGTAAGTTTTGATTTATCTCCGGCTAAACGTTCTTATGCTATGCATATTTCGTGGCTGTTGGCATGCGTCCCGTGATAAAATCCATCGGTTCCAGGAAATTTGGTGTCGAGTTTTCGGGTAGTTATTTTTACCTGTAGTGGTTGTCTCAAAGCAAAGCGTACGCCAACAGAAAAAGCTGTGAACGTCTTTGTAATGCATACTTTTCGAAATTTATATATTTCCTTTGTTGAATAGCGGTAAAATAGTTCAATTTCAGTTTCTTTTGGAAAGATGCGTATACATTTTTGTACCTTTTATACACACTGAGTGACTGATGTCATATCTTACATCCAAGAGTAAAAAGACATGGTCGATGTGATGAGTTGCATTATTGGCATTATTGCTCTTCAATTTTTCGAATATTATTGGGGATATAACACGCTTGTTTTTGGATAGTTTTGGTTTAAGTTTATCCGATAAAATACGTGAAAGTAAGAGCGGACTCTTGCTCACAAATTTTGACGTTTGTGGTTGTCGAGACCAAGGAGGCATTGCGATAAATACCCTTAGCTTCATAGCTAAATAACAGCACCAGGTTTACAAAGCCGACGTGATCTAGCTGATTATGCCCTCAGATATGATGATGCATTTTTCATTATTATTTATTATACAAAGTGTGGAATACTTTAGCAGTAGATTCTACGATCAAAAATAAGATTGGTTTTTTCCTATAAACAAGGGTCGAAGAATGCTTCCTAAGGGAGCTACACCCCACTTAAAGGGGTATCGGGAGATCATATTTTTCAAAATATTTCCAAAATCAGTTAACGTATCATTATGATTTTGGTATGTTGGATACTCAATGAATGTTCTAACGAACTACAAGAAAACTGTTTAATTTTAGTCTGGGGAGTCTCAGGCAGGGAGGCTCACGTGTAAAATGCGCCCCCAATTTTTTGCATCTCAATGTTTTCAAATTTAAACATCAAACCATGATAGATATGAGTTTTTCACAAAAAAATTATACTCTTGATTTACTTCGATAAAATGCTTCGTTTTCGAGAAAAGTCGATTTTAAAGTTTTGTCACATTATTTCAAGAATGGAAAACGATTACATGAATAGGTAGGTAGGCCATGGAAACAAATGTTTGTTTACTTGAATTAATTTGAAAGATTATTGAACTTAAATTTTTGCTTTCACTTTACGGTGCTGTATTGGATATCAAGTAAAATCTAAAGAAAAAATGCAGAATTTTAATAATTTTAATAGACATTTATTTTGTGTTTGGATATTGTAATGGTAGAGCACTAGCGGCACCAAGGGAATACCAACGAAGATACCCGAATCGGAGATAACCTGGATGGATATTTTCTACGGTCCATAGACGATTTTCAAATGTAAACATCAAACATCAAACATTAAACATCATAATAGAAATGGGTTTTTACAAAAAAATGGACTGAAATTTTGCATTTTTAAATTTTTTCTTTAGATTAATATTTTTCGACCCTTGTTTATAGAAAAAAGACTTATTTTTGATCGTAGAATCTGCTAAAGTATTGCACACTTATTATGGGGCACCCTGTATAAAAGTCGATTTTTGCAACTTTCGAGTAAATTAAATTGTCAGTTAAATCCTTAGAGCATATAGAGGAAGCACCCCTTGTTGAAAAGTGTAGAGGCTGTAGAGAAAAAGGGCGATAGTAGGAATACTATCTCTCTCTCTCTCTCTCTCTCTCTCTCTCTCTCTCTAATCGTTAAGGAAGGAGTTCCTTTCTCTGTAACTCGATTATGGACCAAATTTGAAATGATTAGTTAATCCATTTTGCAGACAGAAACTGCTTAAAACTGATTTCAAACGTCGTTAATAATAAATACTCTTATCCGACAATTTTTGTTTCAACGCTAACAAGTAATTACAGTAAAATGAAAAATATAAGTTTGTTTGATAATTCTATAATTAACGAAGACCCACTTTTTGTTGCCACAACTTTTAACGATTTTTTTATAGCTGCACCAGAGGATGTGGCTAGTAAAATTCCAAAAGCTGTATTACAGAGAAATAAGTTTTTTAATAATGTAAGAACTGTAAAAGATAGCTTATTTTTAACTCCTTATTTGAATAATGAACTTTTATACATTTTGAAAAACAAATTAAAAAACAAAAAGTCAGCAGGACCGGACGACTTTCCGATATTTGTATTAATAGACTTTTTACCTACTATCAAAAACCACTGACATTTCTTGTGAATATGTCATTTGAAACAGGTACCTACATTTCCATCAAGTTTAAAAATCGGTAAAATTGTACCTGTGCACAAGAAACATGATGTTCATTGCGTTGAAAATTATCGACCAGTAACTTTAACATCGGGATTTTCTAAAATTTTCGAATACAGTTATTTATACCGTCTCATGTCATTTCTTGATAAACATAATATAATTTCGGATAATCAGCATCGGTTTATAGCAGGAAAGTCTACTACCATTGCTATGGCAAATTTTTACAGGACGGTGTTGGAACGTATTGAGGCTGGCCAGTGCCCTGTTGTGGTATTTTGTGACCTCAGCAGGGCATTCGACTGCGTTGATCATAAAATATTATTATTAAAATTATCATCATATGGTATTCGCGGTTTGGCTCTGAATTGGGTTAGAATTAAACAAAGAGCAATATGTTAATGTAATCCATTATAAAAATGGAATTGCGAATAAAATAAATTCGGTTAATTTGAGGGTCCCACAGGGTTCGATTTTGGGTCCCATATTGTTTTTGCTTTATGTTAATGATTTCACGAAAATAGTTGATGACGCTTGTTTAACAATGTATGCTGATGATACATCTCTATTAATTTCTCATGTAATAGATGAGTCGTTACAAGTCAAGTGTAATAATATACTTAATGACGTCGCAAATTGGTACGCAGTAAATTCCCTTTATTTTAACATCAATAAAACTCATTACATAAGATTTCATAATTGGCAGAAGCAGTGTGCAGGGCTAGATTTAAACACCAATGATATCTCCATTTCTTAATGTAAGAGTGCTAAGTTTCTGGGTTTGCAACTGGACGATTCCCTAAATTGGAAGGAACAATGTAATAATTTAACATCCAAACTACATTCACTGTGTTATCTTTTTCGAAATTTTAAGCGTGTACTACTGTGGGAAACAGTCATGGGCCTGTATCATGCACAAGTCAGTTCTAGGCTGAGATATGGTATAATATGTATTTTGGGGAAATTCTGTAACTGCGAAAAGTGTATCTGTGGCACAAAAACGTATTCTTAGATATATAGCAGGTGAGCAGGTGTAACAAGTAGACAATCTTGTAAAAATATTTTTAAGGAGTATAAAATATTAACGTTTCCGAGTCTTTACATCTTTGAATTATGTGTTTTCTTTTTCAATAACAAAAATCATTTTAACAAAGTATGTGCTTTGCATACATATAAAACTAGACAATGGAATACAATTTTGCGTGCCTTATAGTAATTATTATAATGTGTCTGTAAAGTCTCCTTTTGTGTTTGGACCCAGGGTGTTTAATAACTTGCCCTTGAAAATAAAAATGATTGAGAATCTCGGTAGGTTTAAATCTAAGTTAAAATATTATTTAATTGACAAATGTATATATAACATTACTGAATTCTTTTAGTATAAGAATTTATGGCTTTTCTCTTCCTTTTTTTGTATTATTGACTATTCCCATACATTATTATAAAGTCTCTAAGGAAAATAAAGGTTATTTATTTATTTATTTATTTATTTAGAGCATTCAGTTAACTGATTTTTTTCGTTGCAGAATCATCCCCTAAAGATGGAGTGCGGTGTGGGCTACACGAACGGCACCACCCCCGCTGGTATCCTGGCGGACGTCCGATCGGAACGCTCGCCCGCGAAGACGGGGCTACACGTCGATTTCAAGGACAAGGGCGAGATCAAGGAGAAGCGCGAGAAATTCCTCACTGCCAAGTACGGCCACCACCAGATGAGCCTCATCAGGAAGAGGCTGGCGGTGGAGATGTGGCTGTACGAGGAACTGAAGAAGCTGTACGAGAATAAATCCACAGTAAGTTCTTTGTTTAGTAACGTTTCCTGCGTCAGTAATTACACTGATTGCGAGATGGACGGGCGATCCCTATATTTTTCTTAATGCAATTTGGTAATTTACCGTAAATATATTTGCGTGGGACAAATCAGAATAATTCATTAGAAAAACAATGGGCTCAATCAGTACTATTTATTTGAAAACTTGTTTTTACATTTTCCATTAGCACTAAACCCCCTACGTGTACAGGGTGATTCAGAACTTATCCAAAAAGTTTTATATAGGGGACTCTTACAAATACAGATATGTAAAAAAATCAAAAAGGGCATTTCGAAAATGATTTAAAAATCTGGTCTATTGTAAAACTTCACCTTGCGCAAAGCAAAGCTTGCAGTCGGCAACCGATACGGCGGCAATGTGTAATAAAAAATTAACGGACGAAAAATTGAAAGAATTTCTTTCCCAAGAAATATATAAAATTTTATAACACCTATTTTATATCAACAAATCAACTGCCTTTACCGCTATTGTTACTATTAATTAATAAAATTAATTTGTGGTTTTAATTAATAAAATAATTTGACACACCTGATGTTACAGCAACTATTCAAAATTTTGTCCACCGACGTGTAAACACATTTAGTTCCATTTTACTCAGTTACTACGAACTAACACAAATGTTGTCTTGCTTCACCATAAATTAAAACGATATCCATCAACTCCGAGTTGCTATACATTTTTGACTCTTGAACAACTAATGTAAACACTACCTCAAAAATTTTACTACTAAAATTGGATTTTAGTATTCGGAATCGCTTGGGGTCACGCGGAGAGGGAGCGCATTGAGCACAGCGCACAGCGCTAATGACGCTAGACTACAGTAGCCCAGTGATCTAAGGGTTGAAAATACTACAAAAATTTTTTTCTCGGAAACTATAAGGATTTTGCAAAAATTTGTTTTACGATATTGACTCCATTTTTCATGATGTAGGTATCTATTCCCAAATTTGTGTGAATAAGTCGTGAATCACCCTGTATAAAAAGAAAATTGGAAAGTATACTCTGAAAAAACAATTGTTACTTATAAGAAAGAATAACCTCCAACTTTAAATATTTCCTCTAAAAATCATATATTAAGTAACTGTAAGATGCATTAACAGTCCTGTTTTCTTTTAAATAATTATTTTTGTTCTATTTGAAATGCGTTTATTGCATGTAGATACGAATATTTCTGTTTTTTCAATTATTTCTCTTATCACATGACAAAATATATTACATATCGCTGTAAACGTAATAAAAAATTACATATGACGCAAGTAAAATATACGAGGTTGGTAAGAAAAGTAGTTCTTATGAAATTGATTTGCGATCAAATCGGAAGTTGGATGACCATCACCTAAAAGTTTATAATGTGTCCCTGAGTATATCACTTTCTGCAAAATAAGGTCGGTTATTTTTTTTCAATAAACTGTCTTTGTGAACCTGCCCTCTATGAACTTTAACCAAAATGTGAACAAATTTCAATTTCTTTACCCAAAGAATTTCAAACCCCAAAATTTTGTGAGGATATTTGCATTTGTTAAGGGCCAAATTATTAAAATAAGTTTATCTTACAGTTAACTAACTGGAAAATTAGAATGTGTTGATGTCGGTACGTTTTAATTGCATTTGATCACATTCTAAGCTTATTGTTAGTTAACTGTAAGTTAAACTTACTTTAATAATTTGGCCCTAAGGAATAAACGAAAAAAGACTGAAATAATATTTTACATTTAACACCCTATATCTCTTTAACTATCAACTTTTGGACTAAGGTAAGTTCGGTTAAATCGCAATATTTTTGCGTGGGGAATCTACCCATGAATTTTGGCCCATTACTTCGGGACCACCCTGTATAAAGATGCAGTGGGCAGCAGCTAAGGATCTTAATTTGCAACGCAGATTTGCTTTCCATTTTTTGTATAGTGTGAGATCGTAGGACAGAGCAGCTCCTAAAGTAAAAAAGCCATGTACAACTATAATTTTAAAAAATTGCTCTGACCAAATATGTAAATATATACAGTACATACTTTAATTAAAAAAATAACTTGAAGTTAACTTTATTATGTTTATTATTAAATCCTTGACTTGAGTGTCAAAATAAAAAAACCTCGCATAATTTAATAACCAGAACAGAAAACACTACAAATATCAGACAAAAATTAGGTCGCAAAGGGAGGGCAGATGATGAAGTATAGCCAAACCAAATGATCATCAGCAGCTGTAATTCTGTCGTAAGTGATGGCAAACTGATAAGTAATCAGATTGACCTACATATTTAAATTGGTTGGACGTCGACATCAAATGCCGCTGTTTAATTTCCTGAGAATTATAAAGCTTCGCTGATTCGTTTTTCCTATCACCAGCAAAGTGGCAATCTTCTTATTAATTATACCCAGACGAAGAAAATAAATGAGGATTTTAGTAGGGATGCAAATAAAAAAATTAATATAATTAATATAATAATATAGAAACGAATTCATTGTACAGGGTGTTTCAAAAAGATGTGCGTTCCTTCAAATGGGCAACAGAGGACGTGAAAATATACAATTTTCATTCGTAACCTATGGTCATATTTTCAAGATAAAAAATTATCAAATCAAAGAAAGAGAAAAATAACCACACTGAACCTGATCTGGTCACTGCGTTGTAAACGGTTAATCAGTTGATTAAGTGGGGCTATGCGGAGTCGGCCTAAGTTTCACATAATAATTCTTTTAATTTTCTGGAACACAAGACACTTTACACTACAGGTTGCTTAATCAAAATTATTTACTTTCAGGTCCTCTTTTACCCCTTCAAAAGAGCACACCTATTCCAGAAACACCCTTTATAGTTAGCTATTTCATTGTATATTTGAAGTGAATCTGCTCTCTCCTGATATGTTCCTTTTTCTTTCATATAATTTATATCCCAAATAAGTATAAACGGTCATATATCATAAAACCGGGACTTCCTAATCCTAATCCCTCTATTATCTCCTCAACAAATCATCGTACGCCAAACAACCAGCTACTGTGGACTGTGGGAACGAGCCCGACAATTTATTCTTTCTGAAAATTATTGTTGTTCACCACCACTTTTGAACAACTTTCTTGGAGTGAGGTGTCTTTAGCTTGATGGTGCTTGGTGAAATATCCATTTGACATTACGATCTTATTCATTCCTCAACATCTCCCTCAGTCAGACATCATGTTGATTGCCATATCCCATTGCTTTTAAGAGTTTGAGTAAGCCCAGTGTCAACAAGGAATGCGGTAGATCCTCCTTAAGCAGTGGCCACTGTAACTAGAAACATCTGGGAGTTTTATTTGGCTTTTTTTTCGTGGCGACAGTAAAACAAAAATCTATTATATTATTGCTTTTTTTTCTTATATTTATGCTACAATGTATATATCCATTGATCCACTATGATCCTATGGTAAATATAAGTTTCTTTTTGGTGTCATGTACAATTATAACCAAAATATTCTCAATGTTTTCTACGTCTTCAACTCTTTTGATGGAGGTAATATCTTCCCCAGGAATAATTAAGAGGAGCATCTGAAATGGTGGTTTGTATAGTCATTCAGATGTGATAATTTCAAATATGCAGCGATTTCTAATTGATTTCTACTTTCGTCTAAATCTTACAATTAGACTTCTTTAGACTATATCCAACCAACTTATTTTTCAAGTAGGGTCTCATTTTTGAGAATTACAGTTCAAATTAATGTAGGACAATATAAATACTAAAAGCTAGTATACGTGCAACGTTAGAAATGTGCATTTACAGACTTTTGTGGCATTTAAGTAGTCGCTACCGCTCATACTCAAACCTGCCGTATTCTTCTAGGGATCTTGGTACGTAATATACAATTAACATGCAAAGTGTCGAATGTCCTAAGGACATTGATAATAACGATTGAAGTCAATGAACGAATAAATGATCGAGCTTATAAAACAGTCTTACTACGTACGAAAATACTCACAACAAGCTAATTAATCCCACTTCTGATTATATTACCCATCAGAAAAGTATTTAGCGTTCCGAGAACCTCTGCGTTTACAGTAAAACAATAATTTAAGTCAAATAAATTGGAGCAGATTTCAGGAATGAAAGATTTACTTTCTTAAATGTCTGAGGCGCCTAACTATATTAAAATCCCAATGATAACAGTGTCTAACACACTACCTACGGAGTATATAAGCTATCAACAGTACATTTCAACCTCCATCTAAACCAGGTTAAAAATATCGTGTAGCTCTTGTAAATTAACTGCTTTAGATACACCGGCGTAGTGTTTGGTAGTAAACAGAAATAGCTCCGGATCCGTTCCATCTTACTTAGTCGTTACTTTACTCATATTAGAAACTATTTACAACGCACCAAAAATAAACAGTTTACAGGCACGGTGCCAGCGGTGAACTCGAAAAAGAAGTCCAAGGAATAGCGGAAAAACGGCATTTTAATTTCGGGCTAAATACAGCCTGTAATTGATATGTCAACTGTTGTTTTTTTTTCTCTTTGGTTTATTTTCGGAGGCCCTCGTTTCCAGGTGTATAGTTTAAAAATGATCAAAAAGCCGGGTCATTGTCAGTCATTTGGTGTCGTAGACCTATTTGTTAAAAATATGCCGGACTACTTCCCGTTGTGTCGATATCTTGCAAAAATCATCATGAAGGTGATACCCATAATCCTTGACCACAGACTTGACCAGACTTATACGAAAGTCGAGTTAAGACGTGATATTTACAATCATTTAAGTTTATTTTCTTGATTTACCTTCAAATAAATTTTCCTCCATTTGCTTACAAGCGTGTCTGTGACAAACAACAATTTCCTTTAAAAAATATTATTCCGGAAGCTTAAAACTTTTATCAGTAACAGTTATTACTAAATAATGTGTCTATTTCTCTTAATAAATTTTCTTTTTTTTTGTTGACAGTCCCCTGGCCAAATTGGAACTTCAATATTTTCCTTTCCTTGGTTATTTTGGGCG